TAATTAGCTGTTTCTTTTAAAGGGTTCTTGGTCCAACTGTCTTGATAAGAAAAAAAATTGTAGTCATTGCTCAAAATGCTTGTAGCAAATTTAGTTTCAAATTGAAGCAATTTATTCCAAAAGCAATCTACTACTGCAACAATAATCAATGTGTTTTCCCTTAGCCCATACTGTAGCTTTCCAAGGACTATTGTTAGCTGCCTTTAACTAAATAACCACTGGTGCCCTTAAATGTAACTCTTGGCACTTTTTCATTTGTTGTGTTTAACCAAATGCCAGTTTTCCTTAGGTTTGCCTAGCAGTTTTGCTTTACAATTTTCAATATTCAGTCTCAGTCCTTTAAAGTGGGCAAAGTCTATCATTTTAACAAAATAACACAAAGACTAAACATATATTAAAAGGTCTGTGCTTTCTCTTTCCATCCTCTGATGTTGAATTGTACTGAAATGGAATCTTTTTTTATTTTTTAAATGCCGCCACTATAAGCATCTTGAAATTGAGCTGAAAAGCAGATCTCAGTTCAAAGGATAAAATTACATTTGCTGGGGCAACACCATTCACATTATAATGCAAAGATATTCTTTGAAATTAGTGTTTTGGGTTTCTTCAGATATATTCCCAGAAGTGGAATTGCTGGGTCATAAGGCAGTTCCATTTTAATGGAAAGATGAAACACAGAAATGGGCCCAAATCTTTTCTTTTAACTGTAACAGAATTTAACCCCTAGTAATTTTGTCCTCATTCAATGTATAAGCAATAATGGGTAGCACTCATATTAATGAATGTGTCCAGCTTGGAGCAAAAGAAATGTAGCAATTAAATTTAATAACCATTTCTTTAGGAGCTCTTATATATGCTTTATAAACCAATGTGAATAACTTAAATCAAATGGAAAAATTTTTAACCTGCACATATTTATAATGTGAAAGCATATAAATTACTCTTGCATAAAAATAATGTAACTGAGAAGCAGGCACTGGTGTGTGTACTATTCAGAAAAACACATTTCTTTTCTGACTTTCAAGGATGTTATAAGAACACCATGCTTCTGCATGTAATTTTACAGAAGTATCTGGGAACAGTCAGATAATCTTAGGCTTTCAGTATCAATTAGCTCCTTGAAAATGCTATTTCTTTTGACAAGATTTTGCTATTATTAGTAGCAAATGACTATCATATGGCTCAGAAAACTTATTCTTGCTTATTGCCTATACTCTAGATATATAACTTTTCATATGTTTGTACCTTAAAGGAGGTATTCATGTGACACAAGACCACTTTGTAATTGCTTAGCCACATTGCCCCTGCTCTCTTTTTCTCATTACATTTCAGAAAATACTATTGATTGGCCTAGTATATAGTGTATAAAACTTTCTGAGTAGCTCATGACATCTAGAAATGGAAATCACTAATATTTGGGCAATTACTTCTCTAAAAATAAAAGACTTTATTTTTATATAATTTTTCTCTAATTTATACATACTCAATTTTTACAAGTTGAAAAAAAAACTATATAGAGACCAATATTATAAATTCCATCTGAAGAAAATGAGAACTCTCTTTACTGCATTATGTCCTAGGCATGTTTTTCCATGTTTCTAAAGGTATTTGCCTAGATAAAGGTGCGTAAGACATGTTGGATGCCCAAGCCCAGTGCCATGCCTCCAGAATCAAAGAGCGTGCTGGGGGCAACACAGAAGAACCTTTCCCTGCCTGGGAAGTTATCTACAGCATAACAGCTGTCCTGACTTCCATTTCTCTTTACAGCTTCTCCCCACATAGAATGTAGATTAGACCTTGCAATGGTTCTTTAAAATTTTTTTCAAATAGTTGAAGTACTGTTCACATAATAAAATGCATAGATCTTAAGCGTTCAGCTTAATAATTTTTGACAAATGTATATACTTCTGTATCCAACCCCGAAAAAATGCAGAATATTTATTGCACCCCAGAAAGTTTTCTCTTACCACTTTCCAATAAATGTTATCATAACCCATTCACAAAACAATCATTTTGTGATTTCTGTAACTGTGCTTAATTTTTCCCTGTTCTTAGACTTCATTAAAAAAAGATATTATTGTATATCTGGATTCCTTCACCCAATATCATTTGTGAGATTCACGCATGTTGCATGTATCTGTAGTTTATTCCTTGTGCTGCTGTGTATGTTCTAGCATATGGACACACAACAGGTTGTTCATTATCTCCTGTTAAAGAGCATTTGGGTGTTTCCAGTTATGGCTACTTTGAACAAGACTACTCTGAACATTCTTGTACAAATCTTCTTGTGGACATCTGCTTATATTTCCTTTGGGTAAATACTTAGGAGTATAATTGCTGCTGATAGGATGCATTCATATTTAACTTCATTAGAAACTACTTCAGATTTTCTAATATAGTAGTGCCATTGAGCACTTCCACTAGCAATGTTTGGGAGTGGAAGTTAAGCATTCTCCATTAGTTTTCCATTTCTTTTCTCCCAAAAGAAATTTTATAGTGATCAATTTTAACTGTTTAATGGGTTAACTTAGAAAAAAAAGAATGAATCTTAAAAGGAGCCATAATCTCCCATCATAATCAGTATAATTTAAAGCAGATTTTTCTGATGCATAAATTAGCCTACTGGCATGTTAGAGCATTATGCAGGCTTCTTTGTGTGATGGAGTTTAACACACACAGAACAAGTTTTGAGAGAACAAGACTCATTGGACCCCACAGTATTATCTACTCACTTATCCTTTCTTTTCACATACCATTGGGAAAACATTATGCTGAATAGCATTTTATATTTCATTTTTGGTATTTTTGTGGTACCATTTTACATTGTCTCTCACAAGAGTCAACAGATAACACTGTCTGATATTTATAAATCCAAAATATTAAATTTCCTGGAGGTACTTTCCAGTATTTCACACTTCATATTAATTTACTTAGATCCTAAAAGATTTAATAGTTCACTTTATTTTTCTTAAATTCATAAACTCCAACCACTTTTTCTAATATTTTCTTCTAGTCCTTTTTAATTTTAATAAGAGCAGGAAAACACACTTGATTAAACAGTAGTTATATGTATTTGTTTATTAAACTGTTGACTTAGAAATTAAGGACTAGAAAATGAGAAGTATGGCTGAGTTTTTTCTGCAATGCAAACACACACACACACACACACACAGTCCTTGTGAGAAAATGATGGCCACGCTTTTCAGATTATTTATCACCGATACTGCACTACACCCAGTATGATTTCATCCCATTACAAAATCTCAGGAATTATCTTGTAATCCAAGAGTAGTCATCACTACAAAACCATACATCAAAGTTCCCAATCTAAGCCTATTATAAAATTAGATAACCCTCTAGTGGTATCTAAATTACAAAATCAAAAATACCATTATTATAGAGCCATAATTTCAGAAATATTTATCTTTAGTTGTAATTAAGGAAAATAGTACTTTCCAAGGTAGTTGTCAACTGCAGTGAACAATGGCTACCCATCAGTATGGACAACATATAGACTACAATGATCAAGGACACATGAATGCAAAGGCAGTAATTTAAAGTGAGTTTCAAAGTCTGTGGAGTCTGGCTTAAGGTGTAAATGCAAGTAGCCTTGAATTTGTTACAATATCCATGAATTCTAAAGAAGAAAAGAGTTCTAGCCAGTTTGGCTCAGTGGATAGAGCATTGGCCTGCAAAATAAAGGGTCCCTGGTTCAATTCTGGTCAAGGGCACATGTGTGGGTTATGGGCTCCAACTCCAGTAGGGAGTGTGCAAGAAGCAGCTGATCAGTAATTCTCTCTCATTGATGTTTCTATCTCTCCCTCTCCCTTACTCTCTGAAATCAATAAAAAATATATTTAAAAATAATAATAAAATAAAGGAGAAAAAAGAAGTGAATATTTTATCCTGAAAAAAATTGATAATTTTTATGTAATGTAGACATTTAATCAGAATAAGAGAACTTCTGTGCAGTGAATAGCAAGAAAATAATTTTTTTTGTTTTGATAGAATGTAGTAACATGTGAATAGCCTAGTGAAAGGAAAACACGCCCAACATAGTCTGGTGTAACATCTACTAGGTGGACTATTTCTTTAACCCTAGTAAGCATGCAGCCCCCAAGACTATGTAGACCACACTGGCACCACTTTATTCAGAAAGATGTAGGACAGGAGTCATTGCTCCTGGCAAGAGACAGCAGACAATATTGATTAGATGGTATACCCAACACTCTCTGCAACAGTCCACACTTCCCCTCAGAAACTGTTTTTTCACTCATCTCCCTTTAGTCCCAGCCTTCAAGTGACAGCTCAGGTGAGAAGGATAAAGATTCACATTAGGGCAAGCCAGTGTGGCTCAGCGGTTGAGTATCGACCTATGAACCAGAAGGTCACGGTTCAATTTCAGGTCAGGCCATATGCCCTGGTTGCAGGCTCAATCCCCAGTGGGGGGCATGTAGGAGGCAGCCAATCAATGATTATCTCTCATCATTGATGCTTCTCTCTCTCTCTCTCTCTCTTTCTCTCTCTCTTTCTCCCCCCTTCCTCTCTGAAGTCAATAAACATATTTTTAAAAAAATATTCAGAATCCATCCTGGCTTAAAAGCTTCATATCAACAGAAATCAACTCTATCAGCATAGCTATTAGAATTCTTACAAGGGTTTTGTTTGTATATGAGTTATTTCACTCAGGCAAGCCTAAAATTATTTTTTTCCAAACAGGTATTTATAATTCTGTCAGTCCAAATGCAATCTAGGAACATAGGTTCATTTTTACCACAAGCAATGTTGCTTAGCAACAGTTATCATATACCACCTCATCTGGTTACCAAGGAAACAAAGCTAGAAAGTTATTGAAAGGCCACATTTTCATGCAAAAAGGAAAGGGGATGTGTTAATGCATGGCCCACATCTGGTCTCATCCACAAAACTGTGAAATCAAGTTGAATTTATGATTTTGGGTGTGAATATGGTATAAATCTCTCTTGTGGTGTTTTTCCTAGAGCTGATGTACACAGTTGAACTTGCTGGAGGGCTAGGTGCTATCCTTTTGCTGCTTGTTTGTTTGGTGACCATCTACAAGTGTTACAAAATAGAAATCATGCTCTTCTACAGGAATCATTTTGGGGCTGAGGAGCTGGATGGAGGTAAGATGAGTTCCCTCTTTTAATGTTTTTCTGAATATTCTTATTCGTTTCTGTCTTTGTTTTACTGAGAGAAAAGACAAGTTAACTTCATTAACCATTGATAAGAGCTTTAGAATCCTTCAGTGTTCAATTTGTAACTTCATTTTTTACATGGAACTATATGTGTGATTCTTTGGAGCCAATAGGTATTTTCCTCTGAAAATTGTAAAGCAACACCTGCCCTCTTTTGAAATGTATTCCAACCACCCCTTGTGAATTATAAGTGCTGATTACAATGCTATCACAGTATTCATTTTCACTCACATTGTAATCAGTACTGAAAGGCCAGCTTTACTTTTCTATATAGGCAAGGAGTGTCTCTTTTAATTGTGTTCCCTAGCCTGGTAGTTTGAAGTGAATCTCAATTTGTTCCTTATTTAAACTGATCAGTTATAATAGACTGTACTGAATATTTTAGAATTCACCCAGCAATCTTTTCAAGCCTGTTTATTTAGCTATAATTAGGCAAGCTAATTTTTATTCTAAGTGTGGACCAACAGATAGGAAAGTGCACAAGCATATTGTTTTCATAATTATACATTTATTAGTTTTACTCAAATTGGACAAGTAAATATTATTTTCATAGAAATGGTAATTGTTTTTGCCTCTGGTCAGTCATAAATATGCGTATAATCTAAGAGGAATTTAGATTGCTAAAAATTGAGCTCTTTGAACCACCTATTAGAGGACTTAAGTTTTTTTTTTTTCCTTTTTGGTCCTTTGAAAATGGTTCGTGCATAAGATAAATATGCAATACAGGAAGCATATGCAAATTGACAATAAATAGTTCAGATGATGGTTTCTCGATGATATTTATAAACTTTTTTTCATTAACTGTCAGCTTTACACTAAATAGCACAAAGAAAAAATGCCCATGGTACCACATTTCCAGGTCTTCTGGAAGAAATCCCCAGGTAGATGTATAGCTTGCCAGACTTGTGAGGAGGAGCAGTTCATTTAGCATCCCTAACACTCCTCTCTATTTTTTTTAAATATATTTTTATTGATTTCAGAAAAGAAGGGAGAAGGGAGATTGAAACATCAATGATGAGAGAGAATCATTGATCAGCTGCCTCTTGCACGCCGCACACTGGGGATTGAGCCTGCACTCTGGGCATGTGCCCTGACCAGGAATCTAACCGCGACCTCCTGGTTCATAGGTTGATGCTCACCCACTGAGCCATGCCAGTTGGGCCTTAACACTCCTCTCTATTTAACCTCCCCTTTCCATTAGGGTAAAGTCTGTGCTGCAGCAAAACTGTATTTTTTTTCTTTTAAGTGCTAATTTGCCTATTTCTTCTTTGTTCCTAATTTTCTTGCCTGTTTATACAAATTATTCATATTTTTGCTACTGCTTTAAAGAGATATGAGAAAGGTGTCAATGTCAGAGCTGTTATTGAATGGGTACCAAGCAATGTGCTAGGCATTCTTAAAATCATTCTTGCTAAACCTCAAAAAATTCTGAGACCAGTTATCGTCTCCATTTTATTGATATAGAAACTGAGGCTCCCAGAGGTTAAATAACTTACTGAAGAAAATATCACAAGTAGTATGGTTCATGGCCAAGATGGGATTTGAAAATAGGTCAATTTCCAAAGCCTTTATTTTACTGAACACTGAATCCCTATTATTTTCAACCCTATAAAAATTTAGTATGTTCAGTATAATCTAAAGATCCACTATTATTAACACAATAGAAGATACTTGGAAAAGCAGTTTACCTAAGCAAGTCTCACTTTATCTATTAACCCTATTTTTAATATATTTATTTTGTGTTCTAATGACATGAATGATGTTACCCAAACTATCAATTTCTAGTATGTTTTTTAAAATTTGAATTCTTTACTGTTGAAAATATTATATGTCTCCTTTTCCCCTCTAGTATGGTTTTTATTTGTCATGTCCTACGTGGTAGGAGAGTCTAATGGTTTTAGATGCCTATGAACCTTAGTCACATCCCCTTGGATCCGTCAACACATGCTGTTGTGGTTGAATGATTATCTGCTCCGTCAGTGGCAGAGAATTTCTCTGACATCATCAAATTCCCATTTTCCTAGCTGCCCCTCAAGCCCTTTCACCTTCCAAAGAAATAACTGTTAAGAAGAGACACCAGGCTTTTCATATTCTTTAGTTGGCTTCTAACAAAGAAATGCAATTTGAAAGTCAAAGCTGAACAATGTCTCCCTTATCCTGACCACCTTTTCACCTCCTCTGAAAGGGAAATACATAAAATACTTTGGAAGTAAAGGAAGGCCAAGAGTGTGAAGAAGAACAGGAAAAGAAAGTTTAGCTAATATTTTGAAGTAATGCCTTACTATGGTGACATGATAATAGCAAATTCATTGACCGTTTATTGAATATTTATCAAATACAACCGCAGTGTTGACTACTTTATTATACTCAGAGAATCACACAACCAGAAAGACAGAATATAAACCCAGGCCTAAAACACTCCAAATCCCAACTATTTCAGCCACTGTGTCAGACTAGGAGAGGAAATATTTGGCATCAGAGACACATTCAGCCAGTTCCTTGTAGGTTATTACAATGGCATTGCCTGGCTCTATCAGTTCTATATCAGGATTCCAAGATAGAACATGTTGCTGCTTTGCACCCTCAGTTTGTTCACATTATTCCCTGCCCCCCTCTAACTTTACACTTTGTTGTTGCCCCTGAACTTGGGCCTTAGCATTTCTCTTCTGATTCTGCAACACTCACCTTTCTGGATCATATTTATAACTCTATCTTTAATTGCCTTTAACTCCTTAATCCCAGTTTCCTTGTTTTAGTATCATTTTAGTTACTAGGAGGACCAGGACACATAGGGTAGTGCTGGCACTTTTAGGGAGAAAACCAATGAGGCCACAGAACCTGTTAAATCACACATGATGCCATAGTGCAGAGTTTTATTTTTTGGTATTTTGCTCCATACTTCATGTGGTCTTCGTTTCTTCCTTCCCTTCTATCCACTGAACTGTTCAAATAACCCTATTATTATTAGAGAGATGTAATAATATATGCTGTAAGAAATTGGGAAACACAGACAAGCAAAACAAAATCCAGCACATTCCTGCCCTGACTGGTTTGGCTCAGTGGATAGAGTGTCGGCCTGCAGACTGAAGGGTCCCAGGTTCAATTCCGGTCAAGGGCATATACCTTGGTTGCAGGCACATCCCCAGTAGGGGTTGTGCAGGAGGCAGCCAATCCATGTTTCTCTCTCATTGATGTTTCTAACTCTCTATCCCTCTCCCTTCCTCTCTGTAAAAAAAATCAATAAAATATATTTTTTTAAAAAAATCCAGCACATTCCCACCAATCATGGGTCACCATTATTAACACTTTAGCACATGTCCTTATGGCGTCTTCCAGATGTGGGGAAGACAGTTGTCACATGGGAGATTTATCTCTCCTTATGGGGGTAGGTGGTGGGGACAGAGACATCAGAGTGTTCTTGCAATTTCTTAAGTAACTTTAATTCAAAATAATCAACATGCCATTGTGGGATATCTTGGGGCAAAATAATCAAGCCTGGAATAATTTCCCATTAGATACTCTGTAGGGATCAGATGTGTCTCTAAATTATGTTAATTAATTGTATCTATTGAATAGCACTGATTTCATGGTGGAGGGTCTGTTTCCAATATCCATTATACTTAGTAAAAAGCTGCTAATTTTAGCAATGAAACTTGATTTCTAACATCCATTGTACTAATTAATGAAGTATCTACTTTTGATCAGAAATAAAAATAGTTGATGTGCTTGCAGTGCTGCCTCTAGAGCAAGCATGTCAAACTCAAAAGCTAACAAGGTTTTGAGTTTATGTGGACTGCAAAAAAACAAAAGCTTCAATTTTCATAGAAACAGGTTTATTTCAATAGAGACATGCTGAATACAAAGGGCTGAAATAAATGAGTAATCGTTAACATAAAATAGAACATTTTAATAAAAATTAATATTTTTCTTGAACATTAACTTACCAGACACTGTGGTATTAGTGGAGAAAAGTGGTGCGCCTGTGCATAAGGCATGTAAGGGAAATGAATGCAACACAATTACAGTAATCAGTCATTAACGAATGTTGTAGTTCGTTATTAATAATTATGTATAACAGGATATTGTAAAAATTAATTTACAAATTTTTTATTAAAACATTTCTTACATACCATTATATTGTTATATTGGCTGGGCCGTAAAAATACTTGCTGTGGGCCAAATGTGACCCACAGGCCGCGAGTTTGACATGCTTGCTCGAGAGTGTTGTCTTAGTCTAGTTAAATGCTAGCTAACCATCCTGATAAAGACAGCCTACTATCTCTAGAGCAGAACTTATACTAACACAGTATCACATCATTTTTCTGGAATAACTATAAAGAAAACAATTATTGTAACATCAGACTCTTTTGCTCCTTCCTCCCTGCCTCTGCCTGGGGTTTCCCTTCCACTTTAGTTTAAGAGTTTGTATAGATGTAATCCTTCCTTCCTTCCTTTCTATTTCTCCTCCCTTACTGTCTCATACAGGTTATATTTTCTCCCTAACTTATAAAGATTTTCCTCATAAGTCTAAGAGCTACTTATTTTCTCCTTCATTGCTTCAAAAATGGCACTATAGACACATTATGATTGTCCTTTTTCACTTTAAGAAATGAGCACTTACTAGTAAATGCTTACTACTTGTAGAGCAATGTGAATTCCAGATTCTTTATCTCTCTTCTATGAAAGGAAGGCTGAAAGTAATGAAGAAAAGAATTATTACTTCCAAAATTTTGCAAAGATGTCTAGATTTTATAACTGACTCTACAAATGAAAAAATATAATAGCTATTTAAAGAAAAACAAGGTTCTAATCTTATAGGTAGTCTAATAATAGAAGAAAACAGCAGTAGCAACTCTTACATGATGATTATATTGGCAAATGTCAGTAAGGTACTACATAAGTTTTCTTTAGGAAGTAACTTATAAGAA